GGGGTCATCATGGGGCCGCCGTGGGCCGCCATAGGGCCGCCATAGGGCCGCCATCGGGCCGCCATCGGGCTGCCTCGGGGCTGCAGGATCCCGAAGGTCGAGCAGCCGGGCGCCGTTGTATGCGCTCGCCCTGTCGATTCGGGCCGTCCTCTGCACAGCAGCATCCGCCGTCGGGCCCTCAAGCACCCCCTGACTTTTCGAATTTCAAAACGCGCTCAAACCCGTGAAACAGGACCGCGTGCAGCTGCTGCAGCGGGAGATCTTGGTGGAGCGCGACGCGGCGGTGCAGGCTGAACTTTCGGCGCAGATGCTGGCGGGCGACCCCTGGGGCCTCGGCGGCCTGCTGGGCGGCGGGGAGAACCGCTTCGTGGCGATACGGCGGGACCACATGCTGGAGGACGGCTTTGAGCGGCTCAACAGGCTGCCGGCGGACCGCATGAGGGGGCGGGTCCGGATCCAGTTCATCGACGAGCACGGTGCGTGGGCGGGCGGGGCGACGGACGGCGGCTGACGGACGCTCAGTGGGAGGGTGTGTGAGCGGGGTGCCGGCAGGGGGTGACATGGGCGCTCCTGAGCATCTCAGACTGCCTGCCTCATTTTGTGTACACGTGCGTGTGTTTGTGTGTGTGGGTGTGCGCGTGTGTATATGTGCGTGTGTGCAAGTGTGCGTGAGTGTGAATGTGTGTGTGTGTGTGTTTTTGACGTTTGCATTGCACGACCACACGCACGCACACCTGGCAGCCATACGAGTTATTAGTCGAGTGAACGCACGCGCGAATGCGCTCGCGCACCCCAGGCACCCCCGAGGCCGGCATCGATGGTGGCGGCCTGTTCAAGGATCTCATGGACGAGCTGCTCAAGCAGGGCTTCAACCCGCAGGCGCGCGCGCGGCAGCATCACGCACATGTGTATCGCATCATCGCGCTACCGCGGGCTGCTCAAACGCCGCGCGGCGCAATGTCTGCTTCCGCATCGCGGCTGCCACTTGCGAGCTGCCTGGAGCCTGTGGATTGTAGCGATCCTTTTGAGACCACGCCACGCATGCCTGTTGCCACCGACACCACCTCCATCTGCCCCACTACCACGCGCGCCGCAGTTTGGGCTGTTTGCCGCCACCTCGCAGCGCGAGCTCTACCCCAGCCCCGCGGGCTTCGTCTCCACCCCCCAGGCGCCCGCGCTCCTCGAGTTCCTTGGTGAGCCCAGGAGCACCAACCATGGGCTCAACCCCCTGGTGGTGACAGGGCTTCAGCAGAGGGGCGCCCCGCAAGATCTCGGACCGCGACGCCTGTGCACGTTTTGCCATTATGCGCAACAGCAGCTGGCGGTTCCGACAGCCACGCCGCGACCGCAAGCGATGCGCCCCTCCCGGCGCCTCGCCGCCCCCGTTTGCATGTCCTGCACAACAGCTGCTGGCGGTTCTGATCGCCGCGACCGCGTGCGTCCCCCCTGGCACGTCTCCCCTCCCCTCCCCCCCCCCAGGCCGCATGCTGGGCAAGGCGGTGTACGAGGGCATCCTGCTGGAGCTGCCCCTGGCCGGCTTCTTCCTGAAGAAGTTCTCCGGGAGGTCCTGCGACCTGGGTGACCTGGCCAGCCTGGACCCCGAGGTCCACAGGAACCTGCTGGCGCTGAGGCACTACAAGGG